TCTCTCATGAATAAATAAATAAAATCTTTAAAAAAAAATTTTTTTTTCCCAGGAGGAGCTTCCTCCTAGTTGGCCAACCCAGAGAAGACAGTGACTCTGCTCCCTAGAATACCAGCCCAATGTCCCAGGGAAGATTCTTATTGGCCAGTTTGGGTCATGTGCTATTCCTGAACCTGCTGTTACTACTTCCTAAAGCATCCTGATTGGCTAGTCTGGGTTGGAGGCGGAGCCAAGTTACACATAGTCCTTCTGGTGAATGAGGGTCAGGGTGGTTTCTCAGGGATAAGATGTCGTTTGCAAGGTGCTCCTTAGAACGAGGAATGGTGGGATTGCCCTGGGACACAGGGACCTATAACCAGTTGCTCAAAGTGTACACAATGTTGAGATCCCTCTGTTGCTCCTAGGTCTCAAGTTTGACATGAAATACATGAATTTTCGTGTGAAGGCCTGTAATAAGGCGGTCGCAGGCGAGTTCTCCGAGTCAGTGACCCTGGAGACACCAGGTGACTGCCCCCCCCACCCTGCCTGTGACTTCATAACCCCTCACCCTGGGGCCCCAGGTACTGGTGTGTAATGATAATCTTCTATATCAGGGTTCTGTGACCCTTTTTGCTCTGGTTGCCAGGAAGCTCAGAGCTTAGTCCACAGTAGATTCCTCAGCCCAAGTGTCTAATATAAACCTGCTATTGTTTTTTGCTTTTGCAGTTGATCCCATTTTACCTGGATGGTTTTTATACTCTTTCCCTCTCTCTCTCACAAACACACACACTTACTCTCTCTTCTAAAAAAAAAGATAAGGGCTTTTAGAGTGAGGGATGGGGTATCAGTCGTGAAGACCGATCTTACTCTCCTACAGCAACACCTTTGCATGCCCTTGTAGGAAGTCCTTCTGCAGTCTAGCTTAACTATGGTGCCATAGCCCAGCCCCTTTCCTGCCATTAATCCCCAGCACAAGGGGCTTTGAAAATGCCTCACGACCTACAGGACCTTTAGGCAACAAGCCCTCGGCCTTCACTCCCCCAGCTGCACGCTCTGCCCCTTCCGCGCTTCCCCGTCTGTCTGTCTTGGTGTCTTGCTGCCTGTCCTCTCTGTAGCTGTCTGCCCCTGAGTCCATCCGTCAGTCTCTCTCTCTGTCTGTCTGTCTCAGTCGCCGTTGTCTTTTTCTGTTCTCTGTCCCTGTCACGGTGTGTCTTGGTCACTGTCTGTCTCTCTGTCTCTCTCTGTGTCTCTCCGGGTTTCCCCATCTCTGTGACTCCCTCGTCTGCCCGGCCCCAGCGTTCATGTTCCGCCTGGATGCGTCCACATCTCACCAGAACTTGCGGGTGGATGACCTCTCCGTGGAGTGGGACGCCATGGGCGGGAAGGTGCAGGACATCAAGGCTCGAGAGAAAGACGGCAAGGGGCGGACCGCGTCTCCCGTCAACTCCCCAGCGAGGTAGCCTGTCCCCCGTGCCCTTCCCTGAGTGTCTGATGGAGGAGATCAAGCTGGACAGGGACACCCAGAGTCCTGCGTGGTCAAAGCTGGGGTGGAAGGAGGGACATGGAGCTGGAGGAGTGCAAAGAGGAAATGAAGGGAGAAGAGGTTTTCCCCTGGGTTTTGACTGGGTGAATAGTTTTCCACATGAGGAAGGGCAGGGGCATGTTCTGATATGCGGGGCCCAGCACACAAAAAGAACCAAGTCCTGTGGTGGACTGATGAGAAGACCATGGTGGCTGGGTGGGCCAGGAAAACCCTCCTCTGGGGACAGTGAGGGCCGAACTGAGCCTTCCCCTCCCCGCCCCTCACAGAGGTGTGCCATCCCCCAAGAGGATGCCCTCGGGTCGTGGGGGTCGGGACCGCTTCACGGCTGAGTCCTACACGGTGTTGGGTAAGGAGGAGCGAAGACAGGAGGGCAGAGGGGACACTCTGGGCGGGGCCCTGATGGGGGGGGGCGGAGAGAACTTCAGCTGGGGAAACTGAGGCAGCCACCAACCAAGCTTTCTGGGAATAGGTCTAATAATGTGTTGCTGTGGCGCTGGAGGAGTGGGAGGATTGGGGGGGTGGGCTTCCTGGGGGTGGGGGGCAGAGCTTACAGAAGCTCTGGCCTAGAGATCAGCCAAGGGCAGGGTGTCCTGCGGTTTGTGGAGTGCCTGGGATTTGCAAAGTAGCTGGAAAGAACGGTTGCCGGTCTTGGCTAGAGTTGGGGTTAGGGTAAGAAGCAGGGGAAGGGGTGGAGGGGGGCTGGTCTGCAGGGTGGCTGAGACCTCGCCTAGTTGTGGTCAGGAGAGTAGCTGAGGTCGGGGAGGAGCAGGCCCGGAGAAGAGACATGCGTGGGGGTGAGCCCTGTATCTGTGGAGGAGCTGAGATGGTAGATGGACAGGAGTTGGGAGGGGGGAGGGGCAGGAGCACGTAGAGAAGCTGAAGCTCAGGAGTCGCTGGAGCAGGGAGGAGGTGAGCTGGCAAGAATCTGAATCTGAACCTGGGAGAGTGTGCACTTGGGGATTAGCTGAGATCCAGGAAGAGCTGAGGCCCAGAAGTTGGCCTCCACCAGGAGCTGGGGTCTGGGTAGAATCTAGATTCACAAAGCGATAGGAAAGAGTCCCAGAGTGCCAGGGAGTGTCTGCGCTCCAGTAGGACTTGAGGCCTGTGGGAATATGTGGAGTCAGCCAGGAGCAAGGGTTTGGGGATTACGTAGTCTCTGGGAAGAACTGAGGACTGAGGAGTATCTGGAGGAAGTTTCTAAGGGCTGGAAGCATCTGGAAGGAGTAGCTTGGACCTGCAGAGAATCTGAAAGGATTAGTTGAGGCTTGGAGAGTATCTGGGCTTTCTGAGTATCTAGAGGAAGTGGATGCAGCCTGGGGACTACCTGGGAGGAATAGCTGGGAACTGAGGAGTATCTGGAGGGAAGAGCTGGGGTCTGGGGAGTACCGGGGTGACCACCCCTTTGTGGAAGGGCATCTGGGGCCCGATTCCACCTGGCCCCCGCTGCCCCCCCCCCCGCAGGGGACACGCTGATCGACGGTGGGGAACATTACTGGGAGGTGCGCTACGAGCCGGACAGCAAGGCGTTCGGCGTGGGGGTGGCATACCGCAGCCTGGGCCGCTTCGAGCAGCTGGGCAAGACGGCCGCGTCCTGGTGCCTGCACGTCAACAACTGGCTGCAGGTCAGCTTCACTGCCAAGCACGCCAACAAGGCCAAGGTGCTGGAACCCCCCGTGCCCGACTGCCTGGGTGTGCACTGCGACTTCCACCAAGGTGACCCCGAGCCCCGGTCGGCCTCGCGAGCCCCCTCTCCCCGCCCACTCTCTGCTGCAGGCCCCTCTCATCGCTCCCCCCCCCCCCGCTCTGCCTCCACCCCAGGCCTGCTGTCCTTCTACAACGCCCGTACCAAACAGCTGGTGCACACGTTCAAGGCCAAGTTCACACAGCCCGTGCTGCCTGCTTTCACAGTGAGAACCCTTCCGCGGCTGGGAGGGGAGGGGTGGGGCCGGGGGCTGGCTCTGCTCCTGAGCCCGCCCGCTCCCCTCACCGGTCACCGGTCCCCGGTCCCCAGGTGTGGTGCGGCAGCTTCCAGGTGATGACAGGCCTGCAGGTCCCCAGCTCTGTGCGCTGCTTGCAGAAGCGGGGCAGTGCCACCAGCAGCTCCAACACCAGCCTCACCTAGGCCACTGGACCGCCCGCCCGGCCCGGCTGAGTTTGGGGAGCCCCCCCCAGGCCTTGGTTGTTTCAGCCGACACCTTCTTCTCACTTTGCTGCTTGGAGCCTTAACTCCTGATTGGGGGGGTCACCAATGGGGAGCGGGCACCAGGGCGGGCCCTCGTCCCCACCTCACCTCCTAATAAAAGTCAATCACTGGCCAGGCCGTGCTGATGGTTCTTTGGGGCTGGCTGGCACGGAGTGTGCCCCAAACCTCTCTGGACCTCAGCTTTCCTGGCTGTAAAATGGGCCTTTCTTGTAGGGCCAGGTGGCAGGTTTTGCTAAGCAAGTGGGGCCTGCTGTGGGCAGCATCTGACAGACGCTCACAGCCCCCCCATCCCCCCACCCCCGCCCCAAGCCAGGCCGGACACATCGGCCCTGGGATCACTGGAACTTTTATTCTGGGAGGAGCGGTCGGCCCGGCTGACTTCGGAAGCCTGAGCCCGGCTCATTGATCCCCAGCGTGTCCAGCAGAGTGCTCCATAGCCCGCCTCCGCTGCAGTTTCTCTTCCAGCTCCGCCGTCAAATCTGCCAACCCTTGAGGGGGGGGGGGCGGATGTGACCGAGGCCTCCGCTGCACCAGGGATCCCCAGTCCATGCTGTCCCCCCAACCCCACACCCACCCACGACGTGCTGCAAAATCTGCAGGGCCCCGTGAAAGGTGAAAATGTACTCAAAAGCCTGGAGGAATTTCAAGACGGCTCAGCGTTAGACCGAGCATGGGGAGCTTCGGAGTGGGGGGTCCCGTGTGACTGCGCAGGCCACCTGCCTGGGAGGCCCACCCTGCATCAACCCCCACACGCCTCACCTGTTGTGGGGAAGAGAGTCTGCATTGAGCCGACTGCTAGCTTCTTGGCCAGGCCGCCGCTGAGGCCTTTGGGCTCTGGAGAAGGCAGATGATGAGGTGAAGGCTGAGGCTGGCTCTGGGCTGGATGAGGGAAGGGCCGGGGAGGAGGGACCCCTACCTGGCTTGGGGGCAACGGGTGGCTTGAGCGCCTTTGCCAACTTCCTGGGCTTTGGGACCGGCCGACTGGGGGAAGGCACTGTATGGACAACGGTGTGGTGTGTCACATCCGGCTTTGAGCCCCCTCCCCCGTCCCCATCTCTCCTTGGCTCCCTCCCCACCTACCATCCCCGTTCACGTAGTTGGCAGCTGGGTCATCTCCAGTGGGGATCACATAGTTCTCCTCCTGGTTCAGGAGTGGGGGTGACCTGCCCTGGCTTGCCACAGGTGTGATGGGCACGGGAGGCAGCTGCTTGGGGCCATCGGAGGCAGGTGCAGGCCCTGGTGGGAAACGGCAGTTCCTGTCTGGGCCCATGTGGTGCAGGGACACCTTCGCGTGGGTCTGTTGGCCTCCGAATGAAGATGCATGTACTCATGCCAGGATTCAGGCATGTGACCCTGTGCGTGTGCGTGTCCCTGTGTAGTATAAACATGTACACTGAGTGAATCTGCATAGTTGAATATATGTAAAGCGTTTGTACACACGCCCCTAAACGTGTGTACGTGCAGGACACTGCGTGGATACTAAAGTATGTGCTCAGGTGTTCGTCTCCACCAGGGTGCACACCCGTGTACCTAGAAATGTCTGAATTTGCGCTCGCGGTGAGCATTTGTGTGTGCGTGCCTGGTTGTGGCTTAGGTGTGTGTATGTGTGCGACACAGGACTGGAACTGTGGGACACTGGTACTCATGCATGTGTGGAGCCCTCGGCCATTTGGTGTCTACAAATGAGCTTCTGATTATGCAGACGGACGCAGTTCGTGTTCGTGAGTGTGCAGTGTGTGTGTGTGTACATACATGCCCAGCGTGCACAAGGGTCCCCCCACATCTGCCCAGTCCCAGGAGGACCAGGCTGCTTACCCCACAGACCTTTCCAGCCCCTTCTCCCTGCTCCATAAACGGGACCACCTCCCACCTCAACAGCCACCGGGGATACTCTGGGTAGTTTCTTGCTCCAGGTGAAGCCCATCTCTACCTACTGAAATCCTTTGAGACCTTAAGCAACACCCCCTCCTCCGGGAAGCCTTCCTCCTATTCTGCCCTCTTTCTCTGCCCGTCTAGGCACCTCTGCCTCCATCCCCAGGTTCAACCGCACAGGGCTGGGAGTGTATCAGGCTCCACAACCCGGAGGGCAGGGTCTAGGTAATTTCTGGGTCGTTGCAACTCTGGGTGCAAGATTGGACACGGGCGGTGCCGTGTGGGTCCCAGGTCTCTCCCCACTGTGGCCCAGCGGTGCCCGCAGGGCGGGGGCATCACCTGCGCGGGGCGCCGCGGGGGTCGAGCGCGCCACCCACACACTCTCGCCGTTCTCTTTATCCGCCTCCACGTGGCCTAGAACAGAGATCCGTCCTAGAGGAGGTGCGGCGGCTGGGCATCGACCCAGGGGTGGCCCGTGGGGGCAGGAGCCGGAGAGGCACGTACTGGGTCCCCCGAGTTCCCTGAGACCGCACCCACCTAGAACCTTCTCGTAGTGTTCGTCCAGCAGGAAGGGCACCAGCGCGTTATTGGTGTGTGACACGAAATAGTTGATCACCGCGTCGAGTGAGGCACAGGAGAACTGGAGACGGATAGGGGTCGCAGTTAAAGCTGTTGCGGAAGGGGCGCAGACCCCACCACTACGCACCCCGGGACCCCGGACCAACGCTCACCGGCTCCTCCACGTCGATCACATACTTGGGGCCCTCACGCTTCACCTTGTAATGCCGGACCACCGACTTCCTGCACAGACAGTGGTGAGTGGGTGGACCGGCTCAGACCGGGGAGAACCCCGCCCCTTGTCCTGACTCCGCCCCCACGGGGGGCCTAAACTCTTCTTGCTCCCCTGCACACTGACCACGCCCGGTCCTGGCGTGGCTCTATGCGGAGAACCAGGCCCTCAACTGACTGCACCCTCCAGGAAGACCATGCCGCTGGTCCTGCCACTGCCCCCAGGGAGGACCATGCCCTGATGGCTCCACCCAAGGGGCCCCGCCTCCCTACTGGGCTCTGCCTCCCTACTGGGCCGCCCCCGGGGTTCTGACTCCACCTTCAACTGGCCCGACCCCTCACCAGACTATCCCAAAGGAACCTTTTTTTTTTTTTTTAAGATTTTATTTATTTGACAGAGAGAGACACAGCGAGAGAGGGAACACAAGCAGAGGGAGTGGGAGAGGGAGAAGCAGGCTTCCCGCAGAGCAGGGAGCCCTAATGCGGGGCTCGATCCCAGGACTCTGGGATCATGACCTGAGCCGAAGGCAGACGCTTAACGGCTGAGCCACCCAGGCGCCCCTATCCCAAAGGAAGCTTTAATGTCAGGCTCTGATCCGCCCCCAGAGTGGTTCCACCTCCAAAGCCTGATTCAACCGCCACAGGGAGGGCCGGGCCATGACTCCACCCACAGGGTCCTGACTCCGCCCAAGGGACTGGTTACCACCCCTGGATTTGACCTCTTCCCTGCTCCAGATGCCCAGACCCAGCTCCGACTCCGCCCCGAAGAGCCGATCCTAATCCAAAGGTCTGACCTCGCCTACAGAGTCCCGTCCCGGCTCCAGGATCTAACTCCTCCCCCAAGGGGATCCACCGCCCTTCCTGGCCTCTAGCCCCGCCCCCAGGCATTGACACTACCCACCCATCCCGGGGCGGGGCCAACCTCAGGACACGTGCCCCGGGAGCTCTGGCCCCGCCCCTAGGGCCTACCCCCGTCCCAGCTCTGACTCCGCCCTCACGCTCGCTCCTCCTCCCTCCCCGGCCCCGGCGCCGCGCAGGCGCACCCATTGAGCGTCTGGCGCGTGGTGATCGACACGTCGTCCCCGCCGTTCCCGCTGGGTCGCAGCAGCAGGTTTCCGCAATCGGGATAGCGCTCCAGGAGTAGCTGCGCCTCCAGCCGGCTCACCTCCAGGAAGCAACTGGGGCGGGCCGCGTCCCTCACTCAGGGCAGACCCCGCCCCTGGATCCCAGCCCCGCCCTCCCGCGAAGCCCCGCCCCCCAGCACCTGGACCCGGCCGCGCACACCCGGCTGGCCTCCCCCCAGTCCCCAGCCCCGCGCCTCCGTCCGCCGCCGTCCCGGGGCCGCTTGGCCCGGCGGGGCACTCACGAGGGCACCTCGAACGCGCGGCGCGCCTCCTCTTTGGCCAGGGCCTCGGCCATCATATACAGGTGTCCCGGCAGCAGGGTCAGGTTCGACGGGACACGCAGCTGAGGGGCGATGGGGCACCCGAGGACGCCCGGCCGTTAGGGCACGAGCGGCTTGTGCCCGTGTCACCGACGGGCACCCTGAGACCGGGGTGCGGGCCGAGCCAGGATGGGAACCCGGGTTCTGCAGCCACCCAGGGCAGGGGCAAAGAGGCTTTGGAGGGGACGTGAAGTCACTTCGCTGATAGGGAGGACAGATCAGATGCTAGAATAAATGTAGGGTCTCAAACCCAGCGGCCTGCAGGGGCCAGGCAGAGGACAAATGACTAAAAGAGAAATCAGGAATGTTGACAAAAACTCCAGGCTTTTAAATAAGGGCAGGTAACTTTTACATATTTTACGTCTGTGGGCTCCACCTGGCTCACGGCCGCCGTGTGAGAGGAGGCTGGTTTGATGGATGTAGGATGGAAAGAGGAAAGAGGGTTCTGAGCAGGCGACCGCTCTTACCTCGACCACCGTCAGGATGAAGCCTTTCCACATCTCCCGAGACTCCAGGCTCTCTACCTGGGGAGGGAAAGAGAAAGAGTCCATGTCGATGAGCCTCGGCCCATTCATCTGTGAAATGGGGATGAGGAATACTAGTAGTTTTCAAGGTTAAATGAGTAAGGACGTGTTAATTTAGGACGTCTGAACTTAAGTCCTTAGTAATGTGGGATGCTATCCTGTAATGTCACTGAATCAACATTAATTTATTTGTCTCTTTTATTTATTCTACAACTTTTTTTTTAAGATCTTATTTTGAGAGAGAGAGTGAGCGAGAGAGCACGAGCAGGGGGAGGGGCAGAGGGAGAAGCAGACTCCCCGCTGAGCAGGGAGCCCAACCCAGAGCTCCGTCCCAGGACCCTGGGATCATGACCTGAGCCAAAGGCAGATGCCTAACCGACTGAGCCACCCAGGCGCCCCTGGTTTGTGTTTTTGTTTTGTTTTGTTTTGTTTTTTTAAGATTTATTTATTTGACAGAGAGAGAGACAGCGAGAGCAGGAACACAACAGGGGGAGTGGGAGAGGGAGAAGCAGGCTTCCCGCGGAGCAGGGAGCCCGACGCGGGGCTCGATCCCAGGACCCTGGGATCATGACCTGAGCCAAAGGCAGACGCTTAACGACTGAGCCACCCAGGCGCCCCGGTTTGTGTTGTTTTGAAAGTCCTTTGGCTCAGGTCAGGATCCCCTGAGATGCAGCGCCCCATCAGGCTCCCTGCTTCTCCCTCTCCCTCTGCCCCAGCCCCCACCCCCTCTTGTACGCCCTCTCTCTCAAATGAATAAATAAAATCTTAAAAATAAATAAGTAAGTAAAATAAAACAACCTAAATCAGATCATGTATCTCCCATGTATCTCTAAACCCTCCCAGGACTCCCGCCTCCTTTGGAGTAAAAGCTCAAGTCCTCCCCAGGGCCCACACAGGGGCCCCCCTCCTCTCCCTGCCCTCCGCTCTCCGCCCCCCTCCCTCCCCCACACCTCACTCTGCTCCAGCCACCTGGGCCTCCTCTGTGCTCCTCCAACATGCCAGGCCTCAGCTAAAGAGCCATTTCACAGCTATCCACGTTGCTGGCTCCCTTTCCTCCTTCGGGTCCTCAGTAAGGCCTTCCCTGGTCACCCTGTGTAACACTGCACCCCAACCCCCCTCTGTCCTTTCCCTAACATCTCCCGCCACCTGACACTCCAGACATTTCACCCATTTATATTGTTTATTGTGTGTCTTCCCACTAGACTCTAAACTCCACAAGGGTGGGGATTTTTTTTTTTTAAAGATTTTATTTATTTATTTGAGAGAGAGAGAGAATGAGAGAGAGAGAACACATGAGAGGCGATAGGGTCAGAGGACGAAGCAGACTCCCTGCCAAGCAGGGAGCCCCATGCGGGACTCGATCCCGGGACTCCAGGATCATGACCTGAGCCGAAGGCAGTCGCTTAACCAACTGAGCCACCCAGGCGCCCAAGGGTGGGGATTTTTAATTGTCTTGTTCACGGCTGTGGGACTAGGAGAGTGTCAGGCACATGGTAGGTGCTCAGTAACGTTGGCTGAAAGATTGCATGTGGGCCGTGATGATCTGCGGGGCTCACATCTTGTTATGACTACACGTATTATACTACACGTTTTGCAGTTGTAGAAACCAAGGCATAGAAAAGTGAGTTGCCCCGGGTCACTAACCCAGTGGTAGACCCCGTGGGACTCCATGCTAGTGTGTGAGTGTGACAGGGAGGGACGGGCCTACCTTGAACTTGATCTCTTGGTTCCAGAGGACCAGGCTGAAATAGATGTCAGGGTCTCTTGAGCTTCCCCAGGGCGCCCCATCGGTGAGCCTCACAAATGCTTCTAGGCCTAACTTCTCCACGTGCTGGGGATCCAGAAGCAGGAGTCTGAGCACCAGGCTTGCGGCTCCTCAGGCCCTTCGGCTTGGCCACACCCACCATGAGCCCTCATGCCCATCCTTACCTGGGAGTCCCGATTGCTATTATAGAAATAAAGAGTGCAACCCTGGAGGCCTGCCCAGAACTTCTTGTAATCCTGAGGACCAAAGATAGAGAGCAGAAGGTGAGAAGGCAAATCTGGGTACCTCCATGACACCACTCCTTTCTCAGGACCTTTGCACTGGCTGTTCTCTCTGCCTGGATACTCTTTCCCCAGATCTTCACACGGTTTCCTTCATCACCTGCTTTGGGTCTTTGTACAAATGTTTCCTTCTCTGGGAGGCCCTCTCCATCCATGGCCCAGCCCCTCGGGATCTGTTATTCTTTGAGAAAGGACCAAAGAGAATTTTGAAGGGATGGGAGATCCAGAGCAGCCCCCCAGTGTACAGAGGTAGGAGCTCTAGGAGAAAGTTGAACTAACCATCCACCTACCCACCCACCCATCTACTTACTCATCCACACATACATATATCCCCCTTCTCCATATCCACCCCATAAATATTTATTGGGATCTCCTAATTTTACAAGGTTCTGGACTCTAGAAGTACAGGAGATTCAGGATGTCTCCCCAGGATTCTGAATTGCAAATGTCCTAAAATTTCTTGGAGGTCTAAGGGACTGATACAGCTACGACCGTAAGATTCTAGGGTTTTTTCCAGCAAATATTCCCCGAACACCTACTCTGCACCCAGTTGTGTTACAGGCAAAATAATAAATGGGATTTGGCTTCTGTTTCGAAATAGATCATCTTCCAGAAGAATATAGAAAGCATAGATACTAAAATCTGGGGTGCCTGGGTGGCTCAGTTGGTGAAGCGTCCGACTCTTGGTTTTGGCTCAGGTCATGAGCTCGGGGTCCCGAGATTGGGCCCTGCTTAGGGCTCTGTGCTCAGTGGGGAGTCTGCTTGAGGATTCTCTCTCTCCCTCTGCCCCTGCCCCCCCCCACCCCGACTTATGCTATCTCTCAAATAAATAAAACCTTAAAAAGAAAGAGAAAGCATAGATACCAAAATCCTCCAGGGAAGAGAAATTAGTACCCCGGGAGGGACAGACCCTGAACCTTGAGATACAGAGGACGGGAAAGGCCCTCCAAGTGGGAATCTGGGAAGACTTCCTGAAGGAGGAGGTACTTTAATTAGTCCATAATGATAATAAGGATAGCTCTCATATTGACAGCTAGCATCCATTCATCAATCCACCTATCGTTCCATCCATCTGCCTCCCTATCCATCTATCCATCCATCTGTTCATCCACATATCCACCCACCCACCATCTGTCCGTAGATATATAGACACATTTAACATTTACTGAGGACCTACTATGTTCCAGGCACGGGGAACAGAGTAATAAGTGATTAAACTCAGCATGGTCAGACCTGCTTCCTCATGGACCCACTATACACCATTGCACAAGATAGTTAAGTGCTCTGTGCCTCAGTTTCCCCACCTATAAAATGGCCATAGAGATGTACCTACCTCGGAGGATGTTGTGAGAATTGGGGGTGTGAATACCAGTAAAGCACCAGCGCTTGCGGAGTCGGGTCCACAGACCACTGAGGGCTACCCCTCTCCTGTAACCATGACTAGGGCCCTCGTGTACCCATTTTGTACTAGAGAAAACTGAGGCACAAAGACAGAGAGTCACTTGTCCAAGGCCTGGGAGTCAGGAAGGCATGGAGCAGGGATGTGAACCTGGGTCTCGCACTCTGGGGCCAGGCCTTTCTGAGGCCCTGTGGTCTCAATGCTGTCTAGGCTGGGGAGGATGTGGGCACTTGGAGGCACAAGGCAGGGAGGAGGGAACTGGGGGTTCCTTCTGGTGGCTCTGGGGGTGGGCCCGGATAGCAGTGGGTGGGTGTTTGGGGTTGTAGCAGGAGATGAGCATGAGCAGTGGGGAGGGAGAGATGGGGCTTCCGGGGAAGGAGTATTTGGTCCTGCCGTATGTGGCCCCCTCAGCTTTCAGTGTCCCCACATGCCACCTGTCCTAGCCTTGACCCCTGCAGCTGAGGTTCATGGTTACTTAGGGGCTGGGGGTGGGGTATGGGAGTCAGAAGCCTTCCCATTTCCTGGTGGAAGTCCCTGATCCTCCCTGTATCCAAGAGACAGAGAGACCAAGAGGGAGATACATGGAGACAGGCAGGGAGAGGCAAAGAGAAAGAGATAAATCAGCCTGGTGGTGGACAGAACCTTTTCCAGCCCCCAGCATTCGCCCCGCTCCGTCTAGTACCCAGTACCCACCCCACCCCCTCGGCCAGATGCAGAGTTCTAGGCTCAGAGAAGGGCCGCCAGCCACCTAGGAGCCCAGCTGTGCCAGCTCCCTGCCCCGCCTTACCTGGTCGTGGGGTCCCTTCTTCTCCAGAAAGCTCTCATAGTAGTGTGAGGGTAGAGCACCCTTGTGTTTGGGGACCCGGAGTGGGCTTAGAGCTGAGGCCATGGCCTGGCCTCTCCTTCCAGTGGGTGCCCCAGCTGAGCCAGGAAGCAGAGAAACAGGTTCAGGGGAATTTCCTCTTCTGTCAGCTCCCCAGCTCCCTCCCCTGCCAGCAATGGGCGGGTGCTGGGTCCAGCTTGTCCTAGGGGAAATCCCAGCCTCTCTGGTCTCCCCAGGAGGTCTGGGAGGCCTGCAGGAGTTATGGAGGAGGGGGCCACTGGGAGGCTTTCAGTACAGCACAGAGACTGGGCAGAGGGTTCACGAGGAGGGACCTGTCTAAGCAAAGGCCTGGGTGTGCGATAAGGAGGAGCAAAGTGTCAGGGCGGCAAAGAATGTGTCAGAGAGGACAGGGCAGGAACATAGCAGGAAGGTCTGAGTGCCCTTTAGGCTGCCTGCACTTTAGGCCAACCTTGCCTAAACCTACCAAAAAATCTTGCTGGGATTTTGATAGGAATTGCACCTGCATATCAATTGAGGAACACCTGACATTTTTACTATGTTGTCTTTTATTTTTTTTAGATTTTATTTTTAAGTAATCTCTACACCCAATGTGGGACTTGGACTTAAATCGGGCGCCTGGGTGGCTCAGATGGTTAAGCGTCTGCCTTCGGCTCAGGTCATGATCTCAGGGTCCTGGGATCGAGTTCCGCATCGGGCTTCCTGCTCCTTGGGAGCCTGCTTCTCCCTCTGCCTCTCTCTCTCTGTCTCTCATGAATAAATAAATAAAATCTTTAAAAAAAAACCAAACCCTAAGATCAAGAGTCATGAGCTCCACTGCCCCGCCCCTATGATGTTGAGTCTTATCCATGGACATGGTCTATATCTTCACTTATTTAAATCTTTGATTTTGGGTGCCTGGGTGGCTCAGTGGTTAAGCGTCTGCCTTCGGCTCAGGTCATGATCCCAGGGTCCTGGGATTGAGCCCCGCATGGGACTCCCTGCTCGGTGGGAAGCCTGCTTTTCCCTCTCCCACTCTCTCTGCTTGTGTTCCCTCTCTAGCTCTCTCTCTCTCTGTCAAATAAATAAATAATATCTTAAAAGAAATAAATCTTTGATTTTGTTCATCAGCAAGGTATAGTTTTCTCATACAAGTCCTGTACCTGTTTTGGTAGACTTACATCTAAGCATTTCTTTTTTTGAACAGTTATAAACAGCATTGTATTTTTCTTTTTTTTTATAAGATTGTATTTATTTATTTGACAGAGAAAGAGAGAGGGAGAGAGGGAGAGAGCACAAGCAGGCGGAGCGGCAGGCAGACGGAGAGGAAGAAGCAGGCTCCCTACAGAGTAGAGAGCCCAATGTGGAGTTTGATCCCAGGACCCCGGGGATCATGACCTGAGCCAAAGGCAGACACTTTTTTTTTTTTAAAGATTTTATTGATTTATTTGATAGAGAGAGTGAGAGAGCACAAGCAGGGGGAACAGTAGAGGGAGAGGGAGAAGCAGGCTCCCCGCCAAGCAGGGAGCTCGATGCGGGGCTCGATCCCAGGACCCTGGGATCATGACCTGAGCCGAAGGCAGACGCCTAACCATCTGAGCCACCCAGGCACCCCCAGACACTTTTTTTTTTTAAGATTATTATTATTTTTAAAAGATTTTATTTACTTGACAGAGAGATACACAGCGAGAGAGGGAACACAAGCAGGGAGAGTGGGAGAGGGAGAAGCAGGCTTCCCACGGAGCAGGGAGCCCAACGCGGGGCTCGATCCCAGGACCCTGGGATCATGACCTGAGCCGAAGGCAGCCGCTTACTGACTGAGCCACCCAGGCGCCCCCCGAAGGCAGACACTTAACCAACTGAGCCACCCCAGGCACCCCAGCATTGTATTTTTCATTCCAGATTTCACTGCTAGCACACAGATGTGCATTTATTTTTTTTTAGGCATAGATTTCTAATTTTTTTTTAATTTTTAAGTAATCTCTACATCCAATGTGGGGCTCAAACCTACAACCCTGGGATCAAGAGTCACACGCTCCACTGACTGAACCAGCCAGGTGTTTTTACTTAAGGGGTACCTGGCTGGCTCAGTCGTTAGGGGATGCGATTCTTGATCTTGGGGTCATGAGTTTGAGCCCCACCTTGGAGGAATAGATTGTACTTTAAAAAAATCTTTAAAGTTTTATTTAAATCCCAGTTAGTTAACATACACATTATATTAGTTTTAGGTGTACAATATTGTGATTCAACACTTCCATACATCACCCAATGCTCATCATGACAAGTGCCCTCCTTAATCCCCATCACCTACTTCTCCCATCCCTCTGGTAACCATCAGTGTGTGCTCTATGGTTAAGAATCTTTACTTAGAGTCTTTACTTGTCTCTCTCAACCTCATCTATGAACCAACTCCTTCCAAACTCCTGGTACTGTTAATATTTTGCCCTCTTCCCATGAGCCACCATAAGTATATAATAATAATGGAAAAGATTGGAATGGTATGAGAATTACCAAAATGTGACACAGACATGAAATGAGCAAATGCTGTTAGAAAAACGGTGCTGCTTGATGCTGAGTTGCCACAAACCTTTTATTAAAAAAATGAAATATTAGTGAAGTGCAATAAAGTGAAACACATGAGCACGATGTATTCCTGTACATTTCTTGGCATTTTTCATGAAGACCATCATGTCAGCTGTAAATGGGGCTAGTTTTATTTCTTCCTTTCCAATTTGTATGCCTTTCATTTCCTTTTCTTGCCTTGTTGCACTGGCTAGAATTTCCAGGACTGTGTTGGATATGGGTGCCCTGTTCCCTCTGTTATGGGGAAAATATTTAGTCTTTCATCATTAAGTAAAATGTTAACTGAAGATTTGCAGATGTTCTTCAGCACGTGGAGGTGGTTTCTGTCCGTTTCTAGTTTGCGGAGAGTTTGTATCATGCGTGAGTGTTGAACTTTGTCAAATGCTTTTCCTGCATCAATTGAAATGTTCTTTCAACCTTTCTTCCTTAGTTTGTGTGTTAGTTTTCTGGGACAGCTCTGACAAATTATCGTAAATGTAGAGGCTTAAAACAACAAAGATATGTTACCCTGCAGCTCTGTACAAGTCCTACGTGGATTTCACAAAGCTGAAATCAAGGTGTTGGCAAGGCTACCTTCCTTTCTGGAGGCTCAAAAGATGAATCCATTTCCCTACCTTTTCCAGATTCTAGAAGCTTCTTGCATTCCTTGTCTCATGGTCCCCTTTCCCCATCTACAAATCCAGCAATGCAGGTACAATCCTTACATCATATCACTCTCAATTTCTTCCACTGTCATTTCTCACTTCTGCTTTTTGGAAACCCTGTGATGACATTGGGTTCATCCAGATAATCCAGGATAATTTCTTTCTTTCTTTTTTTTTTTTTAAAGATTT